CTGTGCTGCGACAGATGTCGCCAACGCGTACCGATATGGTCTGTCAGGCACTCTTCAACCCGTAACCGTACCCACAAAACGACCCTGAAAAGAGTCAGGAATCGAGTTCACGATACGTGCGTGCAGCGGAGCGACGGAACAACGGGACCCACCTTTGCGCAGCTCCGGTTCAGGTTGCCCCAAATTCGCCGACTGCGGATGGGTCGAGTCGTGGTACTAGATGGAATAAGATGGGACGAAAGCGGCAGCAGTGGCTACAATGCGAGCGCTTGACTGCCCTGCAACGGCTCGTGTAGAAGTGAAAGTAGGTGCGAATAAGTCAATATCTTGACAGCGTTGGGTTAGGGCCAAAGTATTTACACGTTGGAAGGAAAGGAAATTCACCCTGACTACCTAGTTCGCTTTTATCACGTTACCGGTCATTATCGCCGTCTTGGCTTGAATCTTGAGACGTCCGGCCCCCGGGTACTGTCCGGCACAATGCCGACGGACCCACAGCCTCTCCACGCCTCAAACCCGATACATAACCCTGGCTAATGATCTCCACTTCTCCACCTCCAACTCCTCGTCACATCTGTCCCGGGGGGGACGGTGGTTGGCCGGTCAGATTGTTTGTAAACAACGCCAATTGAAGTCCATGTGAAATTCGTCTGAACATGCTGAAGTCTACAAGTAGGCCCGTATAATTTACAGTGCATCCGTGCCGTATTAGCAAAGTACCCCATCTCCAGCAAGCATCAAAACACCATGGTTACTCCAGTCAGTGTGGTCACTGCTTTGACTCCTTGCCTTTTCAAACAATAAGACGAACGACAGTCTTGATTGGGCATGTAGCTGAACAGGGTAACTAGTTATTCAAACCAGAATCGAAACACTTCTCCCAACTAGTCGTCAGCTAGGCCATCCTCGCCAGCCAGCATCTCAGCGTAATCATCCGCCGAGGCAAATGTTGGCAGACCCCTCATCTCCTTCCTGCTCAGTCTGCCCTTCTTCTTCGAGGCCGAAGCATCCTCCTCACTAGCGCTCTCATCCGCCGCTGCCTCTTCCTCCGAGTCATCCGAATCATCAAAGATGCCTTCAAATGGCATATCATCGTCAGATCCCTCAGAGTCGTTACGAGCGTCACCCATATCAAGGTCGCCAGTGTCCATCTCCTCGTCCGAGTCATCATAGCCATCCATCCCGAGGTCAGATTCGTCTTCGTCCAAGTCGCCCTCCACCTCGGGTCGAGAATTGACCAATGCTTCCCAGATCTCGTCTTCGGCTTCTTCCTCTTCCTCTTCGCCGTCCGGACCACTCTTCTCCTTGGACGCCTTCTTGCCCTTTGCCATGTCCCCAGGCTTGCCAATACGCGCAAAGTACTCGTGGAAGAAAACATCTTCGGCGGAAACCTGTTCTGGCTTGAGATTCCAGAATGAGGCCGTGTTGACAGAAGGCTGCTTCTTGGCGCCATCTTTGCTGGAAACGACAGTTTGGGATGCGCCACCGGTAGCGAGGACCGGCTGCATGATCGAGCTTCCGCGCTTGGTTTCGGTAACCTTGGGATTGCGGTAGACGAACTTGTCCAGGAAATGCATGAGGCTATGATTCGCCAGGTCCGGCTTCGGCAGGCCCTTTTGACGGGCAAGAAGATTACTGGCATATACCTGAACGGATGGATGGAAGTGAGACAGGAGGGGAGTCTGGTGTTTTTCTGTTAGTAAACTGGTTTCGCATGGATTCAGAGTTCTGATAGCCACTTACCAACTCCCACAAGCAGCTTCTGTGCGCATTGCTATGCTCGGGGTTTCTCTTTCGTCCATCATAGCCGGCGGCACGACGGGAACTTGGCGCATCTTCAGGCAAAGCCGCATCGTCATTGACATCTTTGTACGCCTCCACGTCATCTTCGTTGTCCTCGGGCACAGTGAGCAACGATTGAAGGTCAGGAAACGTGTTCCCCAACTCAGAAATCAAATATAACACTCCGCATGCAAAGGACGGCTGGTGCAGGTTGAGCACCTGAACCAATCTCTTGACAAAAGCCTTCACTCTCCGGACGTCGGCATCATTCTTCAAGGCACGGAAGAGTAGGTTCATGTACAGTGCTTGCTTCGATGACGTGACGAGCCTGGGATCCAGCAGTGATTCGTACAATGTCCGATAGAATCGGTCAACAGCAAGATGTTTCGTCACAGCGAGCTGTTGGATGAGCATAAGTGCTTGCACGCTGGTGTTGAAGTTCGATGAGTGGGTAATTCGAAACAAGGTATCGAGGTGTTTTTCCATGGTCTCGTCGTCGGCGGTAGTGAAGGGTACCGCACGATTGACGCCAGTAAGCAGTGCAGAAACAAGTTTTTGTGTCGTATCCTGCTCGTTGGCAGTGGTCTCGGTGTGGTTGTGCTTGCCCTTCTTGGCTTTCCTGTTGCTGCCGCCTAACTTTTCCTCGGGACTGAGCGCTTCCAGGTTTCCCAACGAGCCGGTCTTGAGCAAGGAAAGGAAGGCTTCGAAGTAAATTCGGAGTAGTGTGTTTGCGATAGCGGGCTCCTTAGTGCTCAAGATGGTTTGATTCAAGGTGATGATGGCATAGTATCTGGTGCGCAAGCTCTGGCCTGGCTTGAGCAAAACCTCTTGCTCTACCGTGCTGATCACAACACTTTTCATCGCAGGATGAACGTTCAGCAACTGCAAGAGGAGGTATGACGCTCGAGATGCAATTTTCCGTTCGCGATCACCGAGTTTGTTAACAAGAAGTCGCAACAGATTGGCCTCTTGTTCCGGCTTGTCCCGGAGCAAAGTGAAAACGAATTCCAGCGCACGCATTCTCGAGTGCTCAATCTGATCAGCCGACCAGATTTCGAGGAGCTGGATAATGCGAAAATACGCTGATTTGAGCCAGTCTTCATATGCCCACATCATCAAGTGAGAGTCAGTGAGGTTGGCAGGAAGCTTCTGGCCCTGAACCCAACGCAGCACAGCTTGATCCTGTAAAGCGGCCAGCAACGCGGGTTGCATGTTGAACGCACGAAGACGGCGATTACTTGGAAGAACTGAGCCATTGCCCAGCAGATCGACGAGAGCGCCCAGGGCAGCGAGTGCCTGGCTACGGCTTTTTTTGCCGGCCAACCCGATCAGGTTTTCAAAAGCCTTCTGGTTGTGAAGGGGAGACTCTTGTATCGACAAGGTTAAGGCAGATACCTTGTCGGACAAAGTGCCGGAAGACATGATCGTTGACATGAACTTCTGAGTGGAGCTGGAGGCCTGGAGGGCACTGTATTTTGCCGCGTCCTCCTTCAACAGGGCCTCCGCGTAAGCTTTGAGGCTGGCGATTGCTGAAGCATATTGCCTGACGTCGGCAGACGGTGTGAAAGCAGGTAGGCCCTCAAGGTTGAGGCCATGCCAGTCAGGCCTGGGCTCGAAAACCTAGTCAAGTTAGCATACCTCCAGGTAAGTCTGCAACAGCGGGAACGTCAAACTAACCAGCTTGTTCTTGCCTTGCTTCCCGCGTGGGGCGTCTTGAACGGTTGTTGTACTCTCACTTTTTACCATGGCAGGGGTTGCTTGAGGTTGCTCCTGACCCTGGCTGTCGTCTTGTTTGCTCTGTTCAATCTCCTCCTCCTCGTCGTCATCGTCTTGTTCCTCGTCAACGGGGCTTCAGACGAGACACTTTCGAGGTCATCTTCGCGGGGTATGTTCTGGAAGCCGAGGCTCAAGGCGAACTTTGCTAACTCATCCTGGAATGACTTATCCAGAGACTTCTCGGGCGCCGAAGCAGATTTCGTGCCGGGTCCATCTTCGTTGTCGGAATCGATATTGGCGACAAGCTCAAGATCATCCTCGTCTCCGCCCAATGCCAAAATTTCCTCCAGCAGAACCTCCTTTGTTGTATTGTTGGACTGGTCTTTCCTGGAACGGTCCTGTTGCCCTTCTTTCGTGTCCACTACAGTTTTCTGGCGTCTCTTTGTATCTCGATCATCGGCTGTGGTGTTCGGTCTCTTGCGCTTCGGTGACGGCTGTTGATCAGTGTCGGCGCCGGCGAGAGTCTTGTCGAGCTTTTTCGGTGAGTTGAGCGAGTGCTGCTTCGTCGAAAGCCGGCCCCGTGCCTTTCCTTTTCTTTGTCTCGGTCCCTTGAATGAGCCCATATCTCCTGAATTCGTTTTTGGCGAAAAAAATAATGGAAAGTGGGCCGGCGCAAGTTGTCTCGAGGTTGGCTTGTAATTCAAAAGGCCGTCTACGAAGAGGGCGAAAAAAAAAAAAGTGTTTGGATCATGCACGCTAGCGGATCCCTCGTGCACCTTGCAGGGGCAGGGCAGGTGGGGCGGGTGGAGGTACCTAGTTGTACAAGGCCTCCAGAGGAACCTGCAACCGCGACCGGCGCACCCTGAGCCGCCTCAACGGATCCCGCTCACCGGGCACTACTAGCCCGAGGTGAGCAGCTGGAAACCTAGTACTTATCGGTGTTGAGGTACTACCTACACCACTGAACCTGAGGTACCTCTGGACTTCTTGAACTCTAGCACCACCGCCAATTGCTCGGCAAAAGATCCGCTGTTGCGGGTCAGAACCCGGCGCGCGCCGGCGACGCTGTATAAAGAAAAAAAAGGTAAAAAAAGAAAGCAGTGGCCATCCGGTGGGAAACATAGGTACCTCTGTTTACCTAGGTATGTACCTTTGGGTAGCCGCTCGAGCCGCTTTCGCCCATGTACCGCTGGGTTTGAAGTTATCGTCTCAGGACACCAAACGACTTTTACCATTTTGATCACCGGCAGACTTAAAGCCTTGAGCAGACTGGAGGGAGTGAGTGCGCAAAAGTACCGATCCACTGCCTTTTTCATCAACCAGCGGGACGCGACGCGACGTCGCAATGCTGCCCGTGTAAACGAAAGACAGACCACCAAAATATATATCCGTACCAGTGTAAAAGTATTCACCTGTCCATTCAGCCGTATCACCGAGTCATCATCTAATGTGCCAGCCAGATCTGTGAAAACGATGCTGCCGCGTTCCATCCCCCGCCTTTCGAGAGTTTGGATTCCAAGCGGAGGCTTTGCCGTCCCCGGTGTTGAAGATGCCCATTCAAAGCTCATTCGCGCTGGCTTCCTTCGTCAGTCTCACGCAGGTATCTTCCACATGCTGCCTCTAGGGAAAAGGGTGCAGGACAAGGTGGAGCGACTGGTCGCGAAGCACATGGAGGAGTCGCTAGGTTAGTGCTCTCCCGTTGCTTTCTTGACCAAGCTACTCATACCCACCTTCAACCAACAGCGGCTTCTAGGGTCTCGTTGTCTTCCATTTCGAGCGAAGCTCTGTGGGAGCGCAGCGGGCGACTTCAAAATATCGCACCTGAGGTGCGTTCTCCATACTCTCTGCTCGGTTCGTCAGCCTTTAGAGGCCTTTGGTTGGGCTAACCGAATGCCATGGTAGCTTTTCCGATTCCTGGATCGTAAAGGCGGTGCCTACCTGTTGTCTCCCACTCATGAGGAAGAGATCACCAATCTGGTCGCGCAGACCGTAAGGTCGTATAAGGATCTACCGCTCCGACTCTACCAGATCACCCGCAAGTTTCGAGATGAGTTGCGCCCACGTCACGGACTTCTGCGTGGGCGTGAGTTTACCATGAAGGACCTTTACACCTTTGACACCGATTTGAGGTCCGCGCTGGACACGTACGAGAAAGTCCGGGGAGCTTATTCTCGCATATTCAACGACATGAAGCTCCCAGTCTTAGCGGCAAAGGCTAGTTCTGGTGATATGGGCGGCGACCTGAGCCATGAATATCACTTGCCCTCGCCCTTCGGTGAGGACAGTGTCATCACATGTGGAAGCTGTGACTATACTATCAACGAGGAAATAGCCACTACCAGGGTTGCACATGAGACCTGTCAAGCTGATCATGTCGGAGTTTGGCGGGCTATTACCAAAGACCGATCTACACTCGTGAACGTCTGGTATCCAACGAGAACAAGCAGGGCGGGCACCGGGGAAGTGCGCCAGTACACAACCACTGATATCAACATCTATGCCGTCAAATCTCTTGTACCAGACCTTGATGCTGGAGTCTCGGACGCCACGGAACTGTGGGCAGCGGCGACAGAAGGTCCGGACGTCACAGCAAAACGACTGGTGAACCTTTTCGACAGCAGACTTCCGCCGTCGTTCTCGGACACCTTGGAAGGCACATCACTCTCCATGTGGCCAGACGCTGTCAAAACAGGAGCATCCAGAGTGGATGTTCAGTCTCACGGATCTTCCACTAGCGGTGGGAAAGCTTTGAACTTCCTCCGAATCCGGACGGGGGATGACTGCCCACAGTGCTCCTCTGGAACTTTGAATGTTCAGAAGGCGATGGAGCTGGGCCACACGTTTCACTTGGGCACTCGGTATTCGGAGCCGTTGAACGCAAAAATATCTTTGCCGCCACCCAGTCCGAACGAGGCCAAAACGTCGCCGGGGGGTAGCGGGACTTCTAAGACAGTGAGCATGCAAATGGGATGCCACGGAATCGGAATTTCACGTGTCATGGGCGCCGTGGCTGAACACCTAGCCGATGATAAAGGCCTGAACTGGCCTGTTGCCATTGCCCCATACACCTGTGTTGTCGTATTTGCTGAAGACCACTACAACGATGCTGTAGAGGTTTACAAGCGTATTCTTGACGGCTCCGGGGACCAGGATGAGCGGCTAGACATCATTCTTGATGATCGCCAAAAATCCTTGCCTTGGAAGCTTAAGGATGCGACCTTATTGGTGTTCCGGTAATCGTTGTACTCGGTCGAGAGTGGCGTGTGACACGTCGAGTCGAAGTTCAGTGTCGGAGACTTAACGTCAAAGATACCGTGGACGTCGATAGTCTGTCAGTAGTCATATCAGAGCTACATTCAAAGCTCTAACTTAAAGCGTTTAACCATTGTACATCAAAGCTGTCTTCCCTGCCCACAAGCTGTCGTTTGTGCCCTGTTACATTCATCCTTGGCATCTTTGTCTTATGTAGAACATGACATTGTGGAAGATCACTAACAACAAAAACAGCAGCAGATTGATAGATGTGGTGGATTGATAATGCTATAGGGGAGGAGAAGAGTAGGCGGAAGGTTAGAGGTATAGAAGATTAGTGGGCAGGCCAGGGTACGAGTAGAGCCATCGATGCTATAAATGCTATAGCTGGGACTTACTAACATACTCCTATAAACCGAAAGAACCGCTACTAGTTATGACCCTACTTCTGGCCACTCCTATAATGCAGCCACTTTCTACACATGTAACAGAGCCACTGCCATTCGCAGAGGCGCTTGGTCTCCTGGGGTCAGGAGGCCTGGAATAAAAATTGGAACATATAGAAAGGATTAGGGTTTTTCCAGCCCACAGCCACGCGAGCACCTGACCTAAGAAGCTTTTTTCCCGCACTTATGTACCTATGCTCAGTCGCCGTCGCGGGCATGACTTATTATCTAGTATTGGTAGAACGTAGTCGAAAAATTCATTCATACACATGTAACAACACGACTATAAATCACAAAATATCGAAAATTGGCCACTTTTGCAACAATTTAAAGCATTTAATAAAATGTATATCTACTTGTTACTATGCTCCTCGATGGCTTACAGTATAATACTGGTGCTCTCT